GCTGCCGCAGGCCATAGCCCTGGCTAACCCTGGCCTCGCCAAGAGCCGGATGCCACGTTTCTTTTCAAAACCAAAAGCACGAATCCTCTCGCTACGGAATCTACGGAGAGTTTGTTGGGTCCTTTGAAAACCACCAAAAAAACATCATGAGCACGGAGGTTTTTGTTCACTAGCCCCGGGGCCCATTCAAGGCAGGCCAGCAAATTTTCAAAGTTTGAGAGGGTGCCGAAAGACTCCAATGATGCTGATGCTGCTGGCAACCACTCCACAACTCTCTTTTCACATTGCCTGCGTTGCCCGCCCCTGGGCGCAGCCCCTTAAATCCAACGAACTCTCATCGTCGCTTGTGTTATCCCAGTGAAGCAGGTGTGGGGTGAGCGGTTAGCAAGGAGGCTGGCCTGGGTTCTTTTTGTGGACCTGAGAAGGGGGGTTAGAGGTCGGGGAGGCATATCAAGGGCTGGGGCTTGGGGGGCCCAGTGGGAGGGGCCTAGAAGAGACTGCGCGAGGCCTGAGGGCTTCACTGTGCGCTGGCCCTGTAAGAGGATTATCAGAAGAAGGTAATGTTGACCTCTAGCGGACAATTTGCCGTCGGAGGCACGCTTCAGCTGCTGATGCGTCGCAACGACTGCCAGGGCCTTGTCCCGCACTAGCCAGGTGCATCAGCCTCCAGCTGCATGAGTTTCCTTTGTCAGACATGAATGCAATCAGTCCATTTTGAGGCCTGGATACATGATCTCAGTCCCAGCTCCAGGCAGTGCTTGACTGTTTGCTTGCATTGCTCTCCGCAGCCATGACCCACTTGCCAAAACATGACATGATTCACGCGCGAAGTTCTGACAGCGCCACATGGCACTTGGTGCACACTCTGGATTCGTCAGGACCTGGCCCTGTGGAGAATGTCAATTACGGCATCCCAAGCCGTCATGCCCTAAGACTTGCTGCTCTGCGGCTCTGCGTCAGTTGTCTCATCTGTCCAGCTGCAGGGCCCGCAACTTTTGCGGGGATGGCGCTGGAGGACTTGAGTGCTTACCCCCAGGCGGGCAGTCTTGAGAAAATTTGAGCAGAGTGCCTTTGTCCTGCGTTCCAAGGCAGGACACCATCCCCACCCAGGTCAAGCCGGCCCCGGCCAAGCCCATGCTATGCCTATGCAGCAAGGACCTCATCCATGCATGGGCCCTCCAAGCCAAATGGGCCATCCTATGCCGCAAGGCCCACAGGGCCACCAGGGCTACGCTCATGGCCCTTGTCAGCCTTGCGGGCCAGGGTACCAAATGCCACATCCCCCCATGAACATGGGGCCGCAAGTGTCCTTTCAAGCGAGTGCTGGGCGGGCTCCAGCGCCTGGACCTTGCTCTGCGTGCTCTGCAAAGGCAGTGCTGCTTTCTAGGCTCAGTCTGCTCCTGAGGCGGCCGATGCACTTTGGCCCAGGCTCAGCTCCAGTGCACAGGCAGCTTCCTTTTTTGTGTAAAGCCTTGCCAGGCGACGCGCCTCCGCCGCAGGCAGAGTGCTCTACCGATCGCAGTCCATTTTTTCAGCCAGTGGCAGTCAGGAAATGGGCATGGGCAATTTTGCTGGCCCGTGAGGGCCTCCAGCATTTGAATCTCTCTTTCATGAAGCTTGGGAGTTTGAGGCCGCCGGACATGCGAGGCCGCCCTCGGGGCCGTGAGCCCGCCGGTGTCCTGAGAAGACATGTCAATGTGTGCATGTCCACACCGCCAAGAAAAGTGTGAAATGTGTGAAGTGTCAAGCAATGGAGCATATGGAGCATGGAAGTGTCTTGAAGAGCTGTCGAAGCGCGCCGCAAAGCGCGCCGCAGCGAGCCTTGCGCATGACCAGAGCCGAGGCGGGCGACTTCCGCGAGTGGTCGCCCGGACAGGTGCGCAGATTTCCACGGCTGTAGCATCATGTGGCATCAGCTCTGATCAAGGGCTTCAAAGCAAGTGAGCCAGGACGACTTCTTCGCTCACCTGATGCGGTGAGCAGCATCCGCAGCTGCTGACCTCTTGAGCATAGGAGCATGGAACTGCAGCTTCTTGTTCCCAAGGCAGTCAATGCTATCCACGGAGGCCTCATGAAAGCAGCACTTCTGCAATCTGACCTGCAGAGTTGAAAGGCGCTACCTCCCCGTGAGAGCCTTGAACTGAGCTCGGCTTTGCTCCGAAGGAGAGCTCCAAGGTTTGTGATTTCTCTTCATACTTTAGACCAAACCTTATCCTGTCAAAGCACTCCCGCTGGATCCTTTCGGGGACAGGCCGTTTGGCTCGGTAGCAAACGTGCCGTGCCTACGGGCATACCTCGTGACGTCTCTGTCTATGTGTGGCCTGCAAGTAAAGTCTAAGTCTAATCTAAGTAGAGCCCCATGTTTTTGTAAGATGAGGTTTTAGAGCTGCGTGTTCCGGCTACACACGTTAACTGTTAACTCCAGCGGTGCACTCCGCACGCATCCTGTTGCGTATCGCAGCTGCGGCAAAGTTCAGCCACGCAGCATGATAATGGAAGACGCCGCCGAAACAGGATGGTAAAGTCATGGCATGCTTCTGAGCTTTGCTCCCATACCTACGGCTGCTGGCGTCTGCACAGCTTCCTCTGCGCGTTCTGTGGCCTGTGAGACTGGCACCTCGTTCCCTGGCTCCAGAAAAAAGGTAGTAATGGGGCCGCTAGTGGCCGTCGTTGGAATCCCAGCTAAAACCTTCGTTGAGACTCAAGAATTCTGATGCTGGATTTTCAGGTCATTACTCAGCTCTCTTGATGCTGGATAACTTGGGCAATCGCTCGGCCGGCTTATTTGAGCTTTGGCGGCTTTGTGGCATTCTTCGCCTTCTCGCCAGGCTTCATCTTTCCAGCGCCCCAGCCCTCTTATGGCGCGCAGTCCTACAAGAGGACCTGAGCACATTCGCGCAATACCCAGGAGCAATCCACTAGCCTTGACTGCACGAGGAACTTGTGCTGGATCCCTTGGAACAGCGTCCCAGCCTTCCAAATGTTTTTGCAGGGCTGAAGGGCCGAACGGAGCTTTTCGGGTGAGGAGCTTGTGTGAGCTTGGGGCTGGATTCAGGTCATTTCCCCCAAGCGCGTCGGGAATGAGGCGAGTGCCAGCGGGATCCCTTGCCTGTGGTCCCTGACTTGGAACCTTGCCCCAACATGGCTAGTACCTGTGCCACGTTCCGACTCAAGGTTCCCGGCACCCAAGGCACGGCAGGATCCTTCAGGAGCATGATTACGCCCTGACTATGCAACCGCAATTTTGCCTGCCAGGCGGCTACAGTCATCCTTTTCTTCCATGCCAATGCTGAGGATTGTTGTTTGGCCCGTTTGCTTAGGCTTAGCGGCTTGACCCTGTGCAGGATCTGGGAATGTCCTTTGCAGTCTTGCGGCACATCCGGGATCAGTTCAAGGCACCTTTTGAGGTCTCAGACGAGGGCAACTTTTGAATGGCATTCCTCAGGTGAACGTCCTGGCTGTGGAGTGAGCCAGAGAGCATTCTTTTTCTCAGCTCTCTAATGGCGCTGCTGTTGCAAAGAGTTGCGACTCAAGGTACCCAGGCTACGGCTTGCTGCACCACATGGAACCCTCAGAGGAGAAGCAACTGAAGCACGCTGAGCTCCACAACGCGTTTCTGATGTTCGTCATTTTTACTCATACGACGTTCTTTGAGGATGCTGTGTACGAGGTCGCTGGAGACTCTTTTGCGCATCTGATCTGACATCGCAATAGAGCCAGGGTGCTGGGACCAAGGCACTGACTGCTTTCCGCTTCCTGGTGGATGAGATTGGCGTCAGGTACTCCCAGATCATTCTGTCCTCCCCCTGGCACTTGCTCCTTGCTTTTGGGCAGCATCACAAGATCTCGCAAGGTTTGGGAGATCTCTTGGCAGTGGGCCGGCGGTCTTCCTCGCCGCGCAGTACCCTGTTGGAGGCTGCCAGTCTACTTTACTTTCCAAAGCACAAAATTTGGCTGTTCAGGGCATTGTCGCACCAGGTCTGATTTTGGTCTCGGCCTTCTCTTCCATCAAGGCCGCAGTGCAGAGTATCGTTGGGCCGGAAGCTCGGATCGGTCCCATGAAGACAGCGCGACAAACATCCCCAACTGAGACGTGTGGTGGCCTGGACCTTTGCGGAGCGCTTCCCCAACGGTGACTCGTACGATTTGGGCCGCAAAGCAGGAACGGCCCAGCGCATGTTTCTGCATGAGGTCGGATCATCGCCAATGTGCCCCGCAGCAGCAACTGCGGTGCAGCACTGTTTGCACATGAGTTCTGATTGCTCAGGACAGAAGGGGATTAAAGTGATAAGCGCGAGAACTTTGAGACGAAGCTTGATGTTTCTCAGGTCTTGCTCCACGCTCTTCATCCACGGGGAGTCGGACAGCCAGGGGCTTGATGTGAACCACTGTGGTACTACTGTATCACTGTACTAAACGCGGGCCTGTGCATGTAGTGCATGTAGTGCATGTAGTGCATGTAGCGTGCCACCTCACAGGCTTGATCCCTGCAGAGCACTCGCTGCGGCTCTTCAAGCGCTGCCCGGATCCAAGAAGTGAAAAGCAAGCTTCAAAAAGGCTCCTCTTTGGAGACGGATTTTCTTAACGAGCCGGGCTGGGCTCTGCACTTCTTCTTACTCTTCCCTTGCTTGGTAAGGGACAGGGGTTCGATTTGGAACTGCAGCGTTTCCAGGGTTTGGGATTTTTCAGCCTGCACGGTTTCCGTGTTTCCATTCTTTCCAGGTTTCCACTTCCAGTGTTTTCGTGGTGTTCACGGTTTCCTCGGTATAGGGCTTTCATGGGCTTTCCAATGCTTCCACTGGAAGCCTCTGGACACACGTGGCGAGCCAGAATTACTCAATTGCTCAAATCCATGGACTGCTTGAGGGGGCGGGCCAGATACACCGCCCCACATACACACGAAATCCGAACTCGTTGGACTGGGTGGGGGGGCATCTCTCTCTCTCTCTCTCTTTCTCTCTCTCTCTCTCTCTCTGTCTTTCTGTCTCTCTCGCGCTGTCCCTCTGTCTCCGCCTCTCTCCCTCTCCCTCCATGCGCTCCTCTCTCTGCCTCTTTCTATCTGTATGTCTCTCTGTGTCTATCTTGGTCTCTCTCCGTCTCTACCTGTGAGCTTCCGCTCTGCTGCTCTTGCTCTCCTGCTCTTGCTCTCTCGCTATCGTTCCATCGCTACGGCTCCCTCGTTATCGCTCTATGACTACGGCGCTCTCGGCATCGCAGTCGCTGTGGGCAACCTCTGCATGGCAGTAGACGTCCAGCAGATACAGGAAAGTGCCGGCACTATCGATGCTATTTGGTTTCTCGTTCATGGAAGGGCGGGATGGTGAGTTGGCCAATCCAGCTTCGGCTGCGTGGAACAAGCTTGTTGAAGATTGGCATGATCTGATTGACAGCAGCCTCCGAGAAAAAGAAAGAGGGATGAACCCTCGTGATTTCGGGGTTCCTACAAGCCCTACAAGCCCTGGCCTTGCAAACAGGGTGTACGCATGGAATGGTATAACGTTACCACATGTCCAAGCAGGATGATGTTTTTCCAACCAACTCAAACAAAGCAGGTACGCTTGCACGGGGTGGGGAGGGGGTCTTTGATAGCCCGGATCCCTTCTCCCACCCTTCCTTGCCCCTTGCCTGTTTGCGTCAAACTGTAAGTCATCAAGCAAGTCATGAGTCGTGAGTGGCATGGTAACTGGCAAACAGGGCGTGCACTCACGGAAATGGGGAAAGGGGGGGGGGTACTCCTTGTGATTTCGAACCGGGCGGACCTGGCTCCCTTGGCCTATTAGTAGAGCATATCTTTTTGGTAACAGGACTAGAAGAGTTCCAGCAAGTCCTGTCGAATAGACTAGATGGGAAATTGTCACATGTCTGACGTTTTTGACATGTACTGGCTCTGGAGCACATGCAAAGCTGTCTGAACCTGTACCGAGCAGTACTGAACATGTACCGAAAAGCATTGAACGTGTCTGCGAAGCACTTAGACTGAGCATCTTTGCTGTGAGGCCGATACCAAGATGCATGAATTGCAAAACCGCATGTCACGCCACATTTATGGGACAACAAATCATGGTCAAACGTTGCACCTGCAGGTACCCGTGCCGACCTGCGCAGGTACATTTATCACTGGATGGGTTTTCATTGGCCCAAGCCATCCATGCAATGTAACCCCTTCGAAATGGCAAATACGGGGGCGCACACACACAGACCCCCCGACGGGCGTGCATCATTTTTATACGCTCTGACTTTGGTTGAAACCTATGAGCCAGACCTCGCTACGTCCTTACGCCATTCATAGACTTGGTGCACAGACTCGTTGTACCTGAAGTTGCATGTAGTCATCAAATGGGATTTCTCCCCTGCTGGTTTGCATCGGAGTACAAAATCATCTGACATGTCATGACTTGCATGGTACCCACAAATCCCTCACAATTGGCAAGCAGGGTGTACACACACACACACACAGCCCCCGGAGGGGTGCCCCGTTTCAATACGCTCCGGCATTGGTGAAAGCCTAATTACGTCTCAGACTCAGACATAGCTACGTCCATTACAATCAGTCAAAGAGTCGGTGCCCGGACTCGTTGTGCCCTGCTGTCACACGGAAAAAAAGGGGCACAAACCCTTGTGAGTGCAAACCGTCGAAAACCTAAGTTTTCTTGGCCTGATAGTAAGTAATAGCGCGGTGTTAGGAATAGAAAACTCGCAGACTGTCTTGTAAACTAGAACATCCGGGACACGATGAACATGTACTTCATGGACCGCCTCACATGTCGGCATTGGACCGCTTCACATGTTTGCATTGCAACCGAAAACATGACTGCATGGACCGCATCACATGTCTGCGCTGCAACCGGAAACGTGAATGTAAAGCTGCGCTGCACGGAGAAAATCTGTGCTTTGCGGCCTGTGCGGAATAGTTTAGCATCATCATAGCAGGGTGGTCACCATATACAGCGTTTTACCGGTGTAATAGAGAACTCAAGCAGCTGATCAGGCTGGACATTCCATGACTGTGGTAGCTTCGTTGAGTGCGGTCCCACAGGCATGCCATGCCGCGCTCCCATGCAATGTAACACGCTTAGAATTGGCAAGCAGGCGTTGGAGGGGGATTGATATTAAGAAAGGGCCGCAATGATAATGGACAAAGATATTCAAATCCCCAAAGATTGAGTGCCTAAACCACAACCAAGCTTCGACGAGAACCATGAGAACGAGGAAATGGTGGGCATGAGGACAAACGCGATGACTAACAGGTAGAAGACGAACGACGCCCCGGCCCAACAGCGAGAATAAAGAGCCCCATTAAAACCTGGAGGCTCAAGAACAAGGCCCACCAAACGACGGAACCGATGCGAGCCCCATCCGAGACCAGCCCCCCAAAAATGAACCAAGCTGGGCGGCCGAAATCGCGATCGATGGATTCAAGACACATGGGTGTCGCGCTAGCCACTGGCCACGCTGTGGCATTAAGTGGTTTTCGGACGTTGTCCAATCATGTTTCTGTAGGGCACTTGGCAACTTTGAGATGGGCTCACAATTTGATGATGTGGGCTTGCCTCCTACGGTCTCTGGGACCACTGAGTGATGTTGCAAGTGCGACGCCCAATCGTTGGGAGATGGTGTTCCGGCACACTCCCAGGCATGTAACGTGCAGTAACAAATGGAGGAATGGATGAACCCTCGTGATTTCGGGGTTCCTACAAGCCCTACAAGCCCTGGCCTTGCAAACAGGGTGTACGCATGGAATGGTATAACGTTACCACATGTCCAAGCAGGATGATGTTTTTCCAACCAATGCAAAGCCACTCAAACAAAGCAGGTACGCTTGCACGGGGTGGGGAGGGGGTCTTTGATAGCCCGGATCCCTTCTCCCACCCTTCCTTGCCCCTTGCCTGTTTGCGTCAAACTGTAAAATCATCAAACAAGTCATGAGTCATGAGCGGCATGGCATCCCCAAATCCCTTAGAATTTGCAAGCAGGGTGTGCGCAAACATATTGAGGCCACACCTGCATGTGTCGATGGATCCGCATGTGAGGCCGCGCGCGGAAGCTCTTAGTGACACCGCCAAAGATGGAGCACAATTCGAACCTCTTCGGCCCGCATTTCAGCTGTCGAGAGGTTTTGGCTTTTTCTTTTGCACTCTTTGGTGAGAATTGTACCAGGTGATGCTTCATTCTTAGCAGTGCCGGCAATCCATTTTTTCGGGTTTCCTGGTGCCTTGGCTTCATGTGGACGGGCCAGCGACCTGAACCAACCTAGCCCTATCTCATTCCGCTGGTGCAAGTTTCCAATGCTTGCATTTTGCCATTCAACAGAAGCAGGCTACTACACCGCTTCACCGCCAGAAGCTTGGCCGATTCGCAACATGGATTACAGAAGTGGCATGCTGGTCCCTTTGACAGGCCTCGGCTGCAGGCTCATCTCTTTGAGGATCCCGCCAAGAGAGCGCCGGAGCCCTGGATGAAGGAGGCACAAGGTGCGAAGGCCATTAGCCAAGTCAAGGCGGCTCCTCAAAGAGAAGAACAAGCAGGAGCTCCGTGACTATGACTCTCTGCGCAAGCTGAAGCAGGATTTCTTCCACCATGGCCAGGAGCCTCTCTCGTCCTTGACGAAGCCCTCCTGGCTATGCGCAAGGGGCTAAGGCTTTCAGCCAAAGGTTCGTGCTGAACTGTGTACACGATGTACATCGATGTACATCGATGAGGACTGCCTGGCCAAGGGTGATGCGCAGCATTTGGACGCCGGGAGCCAGCTCTGCACTTCCGGGAGCCACACCCATTGTATGCCATCATGAGTTTTCATCGTGAGTTTTGGTGGTGTCAGCTTTGCTTTTTCTTTTCAGGTGACGTTTTGCCGGCAGGAAAACTCTGTCGAGGACGGGATGAACGCTGCAAGCAGCCGCATGCCCCGGAAAGTGTTTTGGACTATCTCACTGGGCAAGGACATCACCATCCGATTCCACGAGCAGGGGAGCCTGGTAGTCGTGTCGTCTGGCTTGTATGCGTTCCAGCTCTTGTAAGTCACGAGCTGCAGGGCCTCGCAGCAGGAGGCGGCTGATCCGAGCCAGATCAAAGGACAGCCCTGCTGTCCTTACGAGTAAAGCTTTCAAGACTTGTGGTGATTTCAAAGCTGTCGCGTGCAGGAGACTTGGGAGACATGCAACCTTCCGAGAGTGAGGAGGCGCGATCAATATGCTTAACGTGTGCGTTCTGCATTTCTCCTTGGGCCAATGATGCACAGGTGGCCGCGTTGCCAAAGCTGCAGAATCCAGATAGAGGCCTGCCTCTTGAAAGGAGCGACTCAACGCTCGTGGTTCAATGTTCCCGAGGTAGCGAAGACAAAGAGAACGACAAGGCACTTAGGAAGGGAAGGACTTTGAAACCGCATACTTTCTGCACTCAGCCAGGAGGCGTTGAGAGACGGCCAGGGCCCAGACTCTGCCACATTTTTTTGCCATGCTTGCATGACAGCATGGAAAGCACGTGCCCAAAGGCCCAAGCCTTACGGAGAAGAAGGCTGAGGCGGCTGAGGCGGTCCGTGTGGAGTCCCGGAAGTTCCTCATGCCTCTCAGTCGCAGCTCCTTCTGTCGCTTCTGTCCCTGTTGGCTGAGGCTCGATTGCGCCAGAAGCGCCTGAGGAGGGCCATGTTGTTATGTCTTATGCAACCTGACAGGTGTTTCAGCAACACAGCCTAACCCGCTACCAGGCATAAGTCCCAACAGACACAGAAGATTCAGTCTAGGAGACAGCTAGTCCCGAAGGCGAGGGCCGGGAATCGCCGGCCCAGAGCCCCAGGGAAGGGCCTCTGGCTCCAAAGTGTCACCCCTCCAGGTTCGTAGTGGCCGTGTGCTTGCGAAAGCAAGTTCCATTGCGGGTATGTGAGACTGGCCAGACCTGCTTGACATGTAGATCCTTTTATACCCTGCCCCCTACGTCCGCCTATGCCCTATGCCAGCCTCCAAGGTTGCCTGCAAGTCACCATGGCCGAAGCAAATCGCAAATGCCAGTTGAAACTTGAGACATGAAGGTCGGCGAGGGCGTGCATGTCTGACCTGCGACGTGAACCAGAAGTCGTGTTGCTGTGGAGGCATCCCTGGAGCCATGCCTTGCTGCGTTTCATACTCCCTCCAAGCCAAAAGCAGCTCATCTATGATCCCAACTATGGATCACCGAAGGAAGGGCCTGTAAGGGGCTTGGAAGGATTTTCAGGTTAGGCAATCAGGATGTTAGGATCCCAAGTGAAGGGACCCAATTTCCATATTTCCAAGCTTAGAGACTCGTAGGTATCCCAAGTTTTGTTTGCCGAACGAAGCCTCATGGGTTTGGTGGCAGCAAACGCCGTGGGCGAGGCTGGGAAGCATCCTCATAAGATGCTCAAAATCTTTCCGCTTCGTGGTCGGAGGCTTTATGCGCATTGAGATGAATGGCCGTTGCCTGAGCATCCACACATCCAAAAGCAAATCTTGAATATTCGCAGTCATTCGATTCCAAGGTCTGCCCGAGCGTGGTGGTCGCTTCTCTGGTGTGGAGGTGCTATCAGCAAAGCTGCCCAGAGCCGCAGCCACAGCTTCACCCCCCTTCATTCCGCAAGATGCTGCAGGTCTTGGCCCCCATGGTCAAAGGCCGCTGTCAGACGAGTGCTTCTGCCAGCTGTTGCGTGTTCTTGTCCGCAGACCGAATTTGAGGCAGTACTCTGCCCCTACGACTGGAGAGCCTCAGGTGACCTTACCAGTCGATCTGAGCACCTCCTTGGCAGTAGAGCACAGGTATGGAGCAGATCTTGTGTGGGGTGAGGCCAGGGACGAAAGCTTTGCAGCGATGTAATTCCATTCACATGATAGGCAGATGCGCAGCGTTTAACTCTAGCCTGACCATGGGCAGGAGATTATCGACCGGAAGATAATCGGGGCCACTCGCATTGATTCTTGGCCGCGGCCTATCTGCACGACTCTTGGCCAGTCTTCTCGGCTCCCTTCTGCTTCGAGAGAACTCGCACGCCACCGCCCACAACTTGACAACAAAGCTTGGGAGCTGCTCAGACACGTAAACGGGGAACACGCCTCCTCATACGTTTCAACGTTCCCTGCGCACCCACGAAATCTGCAGCTTGATTTCCTGTGCCGTGACTTAACAAGGAGAACTCAGCCTTCGGAGTTGTGGAGTTCGTCTCCCCGCAGGAGTCTGCCGCCTACTACATGTTACATGTCTCGTGTTGAATCACCGCGCTCCTGGTCTGAACTTCTTGGCCTCAGCAACCACATGCCCCAAGTCGCATGCGAGCAGATGCGAGCAGTAGCCATTGACCACATGACTTCCGAGATGCTGAGGTGTTATGTTCAGCAGGTTTTGTCTGCGAGAAGCAAGCGCATCAAGCGCATAGTAAGCGCCATGCAATGGAGGTCGCTGCTTGGGGTCGGGCGCAGCCTGGCCACTGCGCGGCCGCCGAAGTCGCAGTATTTGCACAGACGTCCAAACGCCCCCCCACCTCCCACGCCCGCCACGCCCCCAACAGCGCCCCCAACAGCCCCCTCCAGTGCACCCTCAGCTGTGCGGCAAGCTCCCGTGGTGCAGGCAACGCAGGCTGTGCCGTCTGCAGTCCCAAGCAGGGAGCCAGATCCTGATCGCCAGGAGCGCTATGGCCCCTTAGATGTAAATCTGAAGCCGCGGGACCAGCTGAGGCCCCTTCTGCCGACATGGAACCCGCCCCCAACGCGGCGACCACAGCCTGAAGAGTTGGAGGTGAGCACGCGGCTCCGCTTCCTTTTCGAGGAGCGCTGGTGGGCTGCCACCGTGCGTGAGGCCTACGAGGCTGAGGTCCGCGTGGGCTTCGATGGCTGGCCAAGCCGTCATGACCAGATCGTGCCCCGCGACAGTGGCCGCTTGTTCCTCCACGAGTCTTTCCACGAAGACTATGAGGCGCCCCCAGCACCGCAGCGCTTCCAGCGGCCCACGGCCACTGACGCAGAGGGCAACCCGCTCCCAGCATTGCCTCGGGCCCCGAAGCCCAAAATCTATGACCCGGAGAAGGAGCGGATGAAGCGGGCCCTGCGGCCGCCTTTGCCCTTCAACCCCGAGAAGGAGCGGCATCAAAGCAGCGCATGCTGTTAAAAATCCTTTGCTTTCTTGAAGACAGGAGCGACTGAAGCGACTCCTACGCGGCCAGAACGTTCCACCCGAGTGAGCGCCGAGTGAGCGCGGTGAGATCGTGAGTTCGAGGGCTTGCCCAAATGGCCGTCAGAAATGGCCGTCAGTCTTCTCATACTGCCCGCTTCTGCTGCCCGCTTCTGCCTTTTACTGCGGGCTTCATCAGCCAAGGTGCATCTCAGTGTTCTCAACCTGCGAGGAGGAGAGGCCAGAGCAAATCCGGCTTTGGGTTCAGAAATTGGTTTAGGCTGGCTGCAGTTTCAGGTCAAAGGTGATCTTCCAGCTTGGCACAGCCAAGCGTCCCAGGGGTTTCCCAGGCTGACAAGGCTTTTCTTTGCGCATTCGTGCTCTGAGGCGAACCCTGCTCTGGCTGTGAAGGCCTTGCCCCTAGAATCGTGGGAGCTTTGGACAAGCCTAAAGCCTAGACGATGATGGAACAGCAGGAAGAGCAGCAGGAAAACCTTAGAGATATTGAGCCAAAATGCGATGAACATTTTTGTTTTCATTTCCGTCATCCTCTTAGTCTGCTCTGAGTTTCAACACGTTTCTTATGTTTCTGGCTCACATTTGATTTGTTTTTTGCCGTTTGAAGCGGGAAGACAAATGGGCTCCGTTTTGAAAGCGCGGCTCCCTGAACGTCCTTGGCTCTTGAGGCCGCGCAAACCGTTTGCAATGATGCAGAGCTCTCGGATGCCTTCAGCACTGGTTGGGAGACCATGACGTTCAGTTCAGGTGTCAGGCATCGACCTCAACATGGGCTGTCCCAAGGCAAAAAGGGTACCCAGGGTAGATCCAGAATACTCAATATTCCGGACTGCGGTTCTTTGTTGGAGACACTGATGAGACTTTCTCATTTCTGCCAGTCCTTCAGCGTGAAGGGTGGCATGGGCGCGGCTTTGCTGGACCGGTGTGGAGCTTTGTGAAAGTTTGAGACAAGGATGAAGAGACGATTCGTGGTCTGGTGTGAGGCCGGAGCTGGTGGCAGGCAGATGTTTGCCTTCTTTCCAAACACTCCATGCCCATGTTGTCATGTTGTGGTGTTTCGGCAGATTTGTTGAAGACGCTGCGGAGGGAGCTGCCTGTGCCGCCCGGCTAAGCAGTCCCATCCAAGCGCAGAACCCCAGTTGTTGTGAGGCAGACGACGCTCACGTGCAAGATCCGGATGCTGCCTTCCACAGAAAAGACGCCACTTTGGCCTGCTTTGAGCGGCTTTCCGCATCTTTCAGCTGCTATGTCCGGCTGGTTCGGAAGGCGCAGAGACTTCTGAGGCGCGACTTCATGCAGGTGTGCGAGCGAAGCGGTGCCGAAGCCATCACGGCTCCTCAGCTCCAGCTCCCGACTCTTCGTGGCATATTTTGGCAGAGGCCCAAAATGGGTGCATTCGCGAGGTCCACCTCCGGCAGCGGCAGGAACGCCCCGCAGAGCCCGCGCATTGGGACGAGTTCCTCCGGCTGTGGGATTCCTGGGACTTTCCGCTTACGACTCTTTGCTTGACCTCTGCCAGTATTGCAGGTGGGATGCTGTGCAGATCCCTGTGATTGCAAATGGCGACTTCTTCAACCGCCGGCAGATTGCCGAGTTTTGGTGCGCCACCTCGGCTCAGAAGCGCATCAGGAGGAGTTCTCAGAGCGGACCAAGCCCCTTACGTCTGCCAGGAAGCATTGTGCAGTAGCCAGGCCCAACCCTGACGACAAGGATCTGGGTGGAAAGCGGGGATCAATGCTGTGCCACAGCTGTTTGCGCGCCTTGCGTGTCTTGCATTGGAGGAGGAGAGTCGCAGGGGCCCGGCAGGCATCATGATCGCCAGGCAGCAGCTAAGACGGGATAGCGTCATTTCATTCTGGCAATGTGTGCCAGGGGAGCCCTGTGGAACCCTGCCGTATTCTGCCGAGAAGGCTGCTACATCCGTGAGTGGCTGGAGGATTGTCCCAAGCGGTGAGGACGAGAAGCTCCAGGGTTCGAGGACATGATACGCTCTTATGCGCTGGTCCCAAAACCCGGCGCGATGCTCTTCTGGAGTCCTCAGAGCAGACTGCAGGTGCGCACAGCCGTGATGACAAATGCCTGCTACCAAAACACGCTTTGGGCTCGGATGCAGGTCTCAGTTCACGGATGTTCAAGAATATTCGCAGATGTTCGCGCATGTTTGCGGATGTTCAGTGTGAATCGCTGTCGCTTAGAGGAAATGGGTATTGGGGCAGATGCTGGTGGCCGGAACGGGCGTGCTGGTGCCCACCACCTTCCAGGTGCCTTCGATTGTAAACTGCGTCTCTTCTTGCGCTGCGCGTCTTCTGGTGCCACCGTGAGAAGAACTCAGGGAACGAGCATGAAGACCATCAGCCGCGAGCTCGCAGCCGCGAAGTCCATGACAGGCGCCTTTTAGAGACTGGATGACTCGGTAAAAGATTTCACAGGCCTTCACTAATTTCAGTCCCATATGCCGTGAATCCTGAGCTTTCGGGTCAGGCCTGTGCGGAGTCTTTGGGGAGGCCTACCAGGCCCCTCTGCCAGCCTAGACAAGGCTACTTACACAATTCAAAATTTCTGCAAGACTCAGACTCCAGAGATCAGTTTTTGGAAGTTTGAGGCCTCAGTTGAGGCGCATGCTCAGAATCAAGACACGAAACCAGAGGCCACAGCCTATCCTCCACGTGCTCACAGCTCCTCCTTCTACAAGCCTTCGCCTGGGTGAGTCAAGCTTGAGTTTTGAGAGTGAGGGCCTTCGAAGTCTCTCAGGGGTTTGCTGGAGACGGTGTCAGCTTTGGACGCCTGGCACTCGGTCTCTTTGAGGGCATTGCGAGGTCAAGCGGCGCGGGTGCTTGAACCGAGATGTGGCATCCGGTACTGGCCAGGAGTCCGGGCTGCCCGATGCGCCGGTAGGTGGGCATGCTGCAGCTCCACGTAAAGTCAGGAGACTGGAAGACAAAAGGCGAATGCATCATTAGAAACGTGTCAAGCCTGCGCTCCTGGTCATGCTATGCCAGTCAAGCAATAATTAATTGTAAATGCCTCTGAATTGACAGCACTTGTATGTGTGGCTCAAGACAAACGTATGTATAGGGGTCTATGAAAAAGATTTGAAGGCGGGGGTACCCTAATACACGTGCTTTTCAAGTTCGTTTTTGCTATTCGAGGGGGGAGGACATAACAAGTTCTTTTTAGTTTAAGTTCTTTTTGATTTCCGACCTCCCCCCTTCAGATTGGCCCGAGCGTGAAATACCTCACAACAGTGTACAGTGCACAGGCGAGCGGGCGTCGCTTTTTCCACTACGCGCTACTCGAGTATTAACTCCCTAGAACCTTGAGAGCGGCAACAACAACCATGCAGCCATGCAGTTGTGTCACATGAGCTGTACATGGACTGATAGCAAAGCAACAGGACTGTACCTAACTCAATCAGGCACGAAGTTACTTTCATGTTACATGACTGTCCCGTTGGTCGGCTATCTAGCTTTCTGAGCGAAACTGGCACATTTACAGAAAGGCTAACCTAAAGTTGGCAAGTAAGGAAGCCCTTACCATCTTGTGAAAGACGCCTACGGCACACGCAGAAACCTTGCTTGAGCTAAGCAGTCCCATGCCTTCTCATGGGAAAAGCCTTGGGTTCATAGCTCACTGGCAGGCTTACTTGCTTTTGCCCTTGACCTTACCTTTGGTCTTGTCCTGGCCCTTCGAATTGTCTGTGGCTTTGCCTTTCGGACGATTTGCCTCTTGTTTTGCTTTCCTATTTTTGAGCCTCTCTCTTTCTTGACTGGGAAAGGCATAAACTTTCTTCGGTCCCGCGCAGGTGTGATATTAGGGCGGAGTGTGAAATACAGGATAGTTTGGCTGTCCTTATCCTTGGGACCTCGGAATAGAGCCTCAATTTCTGCATACATAAGGAATTCATTGACCTTGATGTTGTATTCATATTCCTGCAGGATGGCCGGCGCATTTGCTGATGGTCTGACTCTGACACCATTCAATGATGCAGGCAGCCATGCAATCCTCGCTAGGATCATCAGGGCGACACTTGACCTCTAGCTCATTCCATGCCTTGCCATAGTGCTGCTCAAAATACCGGAGATCCTCAGTAGTGTGGCATGAGGAGAATCTCAGCCTAGGGCTCACATTGAGAAGAGATAAAGATGTCTTGGTCCTCTATTGAAAATGAATTCCAGGTATGGGTATTGAACGCTATCTCCGGAGGTTGCAATGGACGTGAGGGAGTGCTCGAAAATCGAGCTAGCGTCCCGGTGGAGGTGACTCCCTTCTTACCAGCGAGGCGATCAGCAAGCTCATTACCTGGAAATCCGCGGTGCCCTGGAATCTCAGAGGACGCGCTACAGCTTATCTCTGAGGTGCAGTGAAGACCTCAAAAGAGACCGCAAGCGGATCAAAAACTCTGCTCGAAAAGATAAAAAATCTTTATCTCCCGGCATCTAGAAGCAGACTTCCATGGTACTAATGTCCAGCAGTGGGACCACGCACGCTCCATCCGCTCCTCGTTCAAGCCTAGAGCTGCTGCGTTAGACAATAAAGAGGGCAAGCTCGTTTCTAAGACGGCAAGAGCAGCTACATTCGCCCACTATTTGGCGGATCGGGTCTGGTTTTCAAAGTTACACGCCCCTGTCCCTGTTACCGCCCCTTCTCCCCCAGTCGACGATATGAATTCTCCGTTTACTATGCATGAACTTACTCTAGCACTTCGAAAAAAAGTCCGCCAAGGCACCCGGTCCAAATGGACTGGTGGGAGAGTTGTACAAGCATGCCCCGTACATCCTACGCATGTATCTCCTCGACCATTATAACCATTGTTTTACAACTAAAGAGGTCACCTCTAGTTGGCTTTTTTTCCGGAAGTTGTTATGATCGTTAAGAACTATCAAAAGGAATCGTTGCATGTTTGTTTTTTGGTCATGCATGTTTTAGTTGTACTTTCCTACTTGGCAAACATGCTTACTTTCGTAGCTTGGCTCTAGCCGCACGCTAGTCAGAATTTTTCATGGAAACACATGAGCACTTTGCATTACTTCTTCAATTGCACACAGATCTCACGTAACTCAGCAGAAGTACACTCCTTTGCTCCGATGGATGATAGCAGTGGCCGTTCGTTTTTCAGGGAACCGGAGTCAGGGCCCATAGAAATTCTTGCTACGCAGGATGAGGAGGCCGAGGACACTACCCGAGCCTCGCGCCCAGCTGCTGCCAGCTCGCACCGACACTTGCATTAGTCCCGCGCAGCAGTTCTAGCATCCCAAGCTTCACCCGTTCTTTTCACGCGCTGCCGCACAGAGCATCACCATTCTCACAGCCCACCGCTGCAGACTTATTCTCCGCAGTCCACCGCTTAGAAGACTGTGTGCACACCCTTACCGTCGACCAACGCAACATGGCGCTTCAGCTCGGCAATCTGCGCGCGTCTTTTGCAGAATTGCAACGACATACAAGCAATCTCGAGCAACGCCTCGTACGACAGAGGGAAATGCAAGACGAGCTCGACACCAACGCATACAGTGCCCACACTCGGGTCGCAGACCTTCAGGGCATGCTTCGCAACCAAAGCGCAGCACTCGAAGCTTTGCAACAACACATGGCAGGCCAAAGCAGCAACCTCGAGCAACGCCTTTCCCGTTTAAGGACTGCTCAAGACGAACTGGACAACTTGTGTGCGCATGAACGCATTTCCGATGTGCAGAGCAACCTCCGCCAGCCTCCAGCAAAGCACTGCACTGGACGGTCTGCAAGACACGCTCAGCCAGGCAACCTCCGACATTCGGCAACTCAGGCGCCGCATTGGTCACGCCTTTCAGGTGATGGGCGCCCACATCTCGGAAGACTAATGGAGGCAAGCGCCGCAAGCACAGGACGCATTTCTTTCTAGTAGCCATCCATACAGGTACCACGGGTCCGCGTGGCTCAGCAGGCATCGAACTCAGTTCTTATGCAGCTTCACTTAATCCTATGTCCCGCCAGGGCACGCTCCGCAAGCTTGGCACCGCAAGTGCACTCGCCGCAGGCAAGGCCATCCACTGTCGTTGCAAGCAACCATTTGCATTCTTGCAGGTTTTCGCACTGCTCGGCGCCGCATAGCAAGTCTCTTAGCCTCATCCCGCATGCTTAGCTCTTGTCCATAGCCCCAGCTAAGGCCTAGCGCCGCAAGCTTTGCATCGCATGGCACCGCGTGCCCCGCAAGATTTATATCCACTTGGATATTCCTTGTTGCCTGACCTTGCAGGTATAGAATGCTCGCTCGGAGCACGGCTATGCACGCAATGCCCTTAGCCTTATCGCGGCGCTTTTCGAGCTGCGACCGACTTGGTGCCCGCAGGCACCGTTCTGCACTTCTCCGCAAGTACGGGTGCAACCCTCAGCTTCTTGCCCCGCATTGCACTGCGGCACGCCTCGCTTGGCACTGACTGCTTTGTTTTACCGTGCTGCTCCGCAAGCTGTGGCCCAAGTCTTTTGGAGCCACAAGGGTAGGCAGCCCCTAACTTCCTTCAACTCAGTTCCGCAATTTCACTTAGGCAATTTGCTTCTAACCCTCCCGGCCCTCTCTGAGGCCCACATCAGGCTGAATCAGCATATTCCCGGCCTCCCGGCTTTTTGATCTTAGACCCGCAATGGTTTATTAAGTTGTAGCATCGCCTACTTCACAGACTTGTGCATTCTGCCTCGCGCCCAAAGCACCCAAACCCCCGCACCGCGCCGCATTTGATGGACATGATTAACGTGGAGGCAGCGTTCGTCATCCTCAGCAACGCAACCGACCCAGAGCTCGCCTCCGCGCTGCAGCAGAACTCTGGATTGAGGCACCGCGTCCAACGAATCTTGGAGTTTGGCCCTCCGCCGCGCAGCACCAGCAATGCTCCCCCTCACCAACGCCAGGCACAACAACGCCAAGCACAGCAACAGGTGCCGCAAGGATGGCCTGATGGCCCCTTGCCTGCAATGGCCTCAACACCGTCAACGCCTGCAGCGCAGTTCGGAGGTCAAGTCAAGGCTATGCATCCCACTCCAGCGCACGCTCTTGGGCAGATATGTCAGAGACACACTCTGACACGCAAGGTGCCAACACTGGTGGTTGGTCACAGCACGATTTCTGGGAAGACAACGCGCAGCACTCCGGAGACCCTTGGGATCAGCAACCTCCGCAAGCGCAGCCTGCTCCCCCTGCGCCGCAAGGCAAAGGCAAGCCGGGCAAGGCCACGCAAGGCAAAAGCAAATTAGTCAATGCAGATTGGACGCAACACGGCGCAGCACCTTCAAGCAGTGCACAGTGGCCGCAACCCGATGCACCGCAAGCACCGCATGAGTCTGCAACGCCCATCTCACTGCAACCAAGCAAGCTCATCGAAGCGCCGCTCAGGTGGTGGGGCAACCACCCGTATTATCAGAACGCCAAGTCTGGCACTTGGCTTTGCGCCTATCAATGCACCCGCGCGCAATGCCCTCACAGCCGTGCACCGTGCAACTACAAACCAGACCACATCGCACAGGACGTGCATTCACCGCACACATGTTCTTTCTGCAAAGCAGAGCAGCGTGCACAGCGGGACAGCCAGTGGGGCTGAGCACACCACTGCACCGCACGCTCTGCGCCGCACCGCATGCAAAAAAAAAGAGCGGCCCTTTATGCTCTGCCACTCCATCGTTGACTCTCATGGTTTTACATGTTTAGTCTTGCTCGCTTGCCCAGGTGCTTTGACTTCGTGCAGCTTCACGACACGTGCTCGCCCCTCAGCCCAGCCTTTGCACTAGCTCAAGCTTTCAGCGCCACTTGCACGCACAGCGCTTGCCAGCTCTAGTGTCATGGCTCAAGCTAGACCCATTTTGGTTGAGAGGGTTTTGTCAAGCTATAGGCCTCTTCTCACCGTCTTTGGCCTCCTGTCTACCTCCACGCCGATATCAGGTGGTTCTGGCTCA